TCTACTTAATAATTTACCTTACCTACTTGATTATAAACATTTTCATGAACCCGTAGTAATTGCACAAAGAAATGTTCAACTTTCATTCATGACGCAGTATGGGCATCTGCGGCCGACAGTGACATCAGCCAGCAGCAAGTTTTATTTGTTAGATAGTCGAAGCTACTAACTCATGACATAATCATTAAACCATGTAACAATACATGTTTTGTTTTCAAGTTTTGCACAGATGCGACCCTACCAAAATTTTATTAAAGACCCTACCAAATCAACATTTATTAAAGCACTAAATCCAAATATCTATTCTAAATCATCACTTATTCAGTACTAATTTTACGCTGAATCTACCTTAAATGAATATTTTACACATTATAATTGATTACATCTCTAAATTTATGTCAAAATCATATTTCAAGCTTAAGTAAAAAAATTAACAATATTATACTAAAATTAATAATATTTTTATTAATTGTAATACTAATGAAATAAAAGAAAGCAGCTCTGTGGGTCCCTGACCTATCGCATTTGTCACTACTGTTAGTTTAGTACCCACATCGATGTGATGATGTAAAAATTGTAATCTACCATCCTGTAAAAGCTGCGATATTGACTTTTGAACAGCGTCGTATAGGCTCCGTGCACAAAGACACTAGCGACAACTTGTGGCTGGATGGCGAGTCCACGTGGTCACGAGAATACACAGAGAAGCATAGTTGCCTAAAGTCAATAATTTTTTTCATTAATATTAAGATCCTTTCTCGTAGCCTGAGCATCCCAATCAGAATCCCAAACTCCTTAACTGACGATGATATTTTTTTCAGCATCAGATTTTGCTTTAATAAGTTGTGTAAAAGACACATATGTTCCTTTGTTGCTCGTACATATGAGCTACATTGCTCGTATATTAATATGATTCTGTGCAATCCGAAAGCAGATATCTTGTAAAAGCTGCCATATTGAATTTCAGACGGCATTTTATAGCTGACGACATTGTTCCGTACTCATTTCGTCCATCCATTCGGTACCCATATCAATGTGATCCTGTACGAATCGTTATCCACCATCTTGTAAGAGCCAAAATATGCAATTTTCAACAGCGCTGCACAGCTAACTACACTACACTTACCATGGCTTTATATTTAATACCCATGTCAATATATATCTTTTTAAAATTTAGTATAACTTTCTGTATCGGTTACCATGTTGCATATTCAATAATATAAACATTCTTTAGACCCAAACATATACGCACGCACACGCACGTTCACACATATACATATAGGCAAAGACTAGCATCATTCTTAGACTGATACGATTATCCTCGCAGTTCGTATTCTATTCCAAAAAAGGATCTCGATTTAACCTTCGAGATTCGAGAGTCAACCTAGTATCATACCACGGCATATTGCAGGCACCGCGGTGAGCATCGATTAGCGAGATGAAAGTGGTAGAAATTGCTGCAACCAAAAACGAACCTCTGAATTTGTCAGCAAAGTGCCCAAAAAAAATGGTAAAAGTGCCAAAATCACCTAAATCGCGAATAAATCGAAAACAGTAATAGATGGAAAAAAAAGTTGAACACAAAAAAGATGCGCCTTTCCAAGCGGCACAACAGTAGCCTTGTTGAAATTAATTTCATTAAATAGTTTTTTTGCAAATTGCAAAAAACCGCAAATTTGGCCGTTTTTTTGAAAAATTCATAACTCAGTCCCATTTGAATATGAAGAGCTGAAAATTTGATACAATGTTCCTTTCGTAGTCCTTAACATATGCTCTAAATTTCAAGATGATAAAATTAATAGTTTTTGCAAACCGTCGTGTTGAAGAAAAAATGGTCCCTTCGAAAAATGGCTCTAAAAAAGTTTTGAGACCACTTACAGCCATTTTTTAAACGCGCTGCTCTTCGTCAAGAGTTAGTGTTCAACATGCTAAAATTTCATAATCCCATCTTATTTAGAGGTACTGTTAAAATTGCATCGAAAAACAGTGATTTTCGCAGGAGGCCGAAGACGGCGCGTGGTGGGGCGAGCCACCGAATTAGGCCACGCCCACTTCCTCGCTGAGCGCTCAGCGCACTTTCGAGCGTGTAGGTTTAAAATGACTACGTGTTGTAAAACCAACGATATCTCCGGAACTAAGCATCAGAAATTGATGTTGTTTTTTTAAATCTGGGGTAGCTTTCAATAATATTGAGATTACGCGTATCGACATATTAATAAAAATAATAATAGTCATGGAAAAACGGTACTTCTGAAAATTATTCTACTAGTTGTTGCAAATTTTAGTACTTTTGTAATAGATATTACATATTTTCATTTCCTGACTGTATGTATGTCATAATTATTGTCAGCATTGCAATAAATAACAATAATAATAGCTATTATTATTACTATTATCTTTATTATACTTGTTATTTGTTGCAATGCCGACAATAATTATGACATACATACAGTCAGGAAATGAAAATATGTAATATCTATTACAAAAGTACTAAAATTTGCANATATTGTTGTAAGTATTATAATAATAACTATTATAATAATAATTATTATTATTATTAATGTTATTTATTGCAATGCCGACAATAATTATGACATACATACAGTCAGGAAATGAAAATATGTAATATCTATCACAAAAGTACGAAAATTGGCATCAACTAGTAGAATAATTTTCAGAAGTACCATTTTTCTATAACTATTATTATTTTTATCAATATGTCGATACGTGCAATCTCAATGTTATTGAAAGCTACCACAGATTTAAAAAATAACATCAATTTCTGATGCTTAGTTCCGGAGATATCGTTGGTTTTACAACGCGTAGTCATTTTAAACCTACACGCTCGAAAGTGCACTGAGCGCTCAGCGAAGAAGTGGGCGTGGCCTAATTCGGTGGCTCGCCCCACCACGCGCCGTCGACGGCCTCCTGCGAAAATCACTGTTTTTCGATGCAATTTTAACAGTACTTCTAAACAAGATGGGATTATGAAATTTTAGCATGTTGAACACTAACTCTTGACAAAGAGCAGCGCGTTTGAAAAATGGCTGTAAGTGGTCTCAAAACTTTTTTAGAGCCATTTTTCGAAGGGACCATTTTTTCTTCAACACGACGGTTTGCAAAAACTATTAATTGTATCATCTTAAAATTTGCACCATATGTTAAGGACTACGAAAGGAACATTGTATCAAATTTTCAGCTCTTCATATTCAAATGGGACTGAGTTATGAATTTTTCAAAAAAACGGCCAAATTTGCGGTTTTTTGCAATTTGCAAAAAAACTATTTAATGAAATTAATTTCAACAAAGCTACTGTTGTGCCGCTTGGAAAGGCGCATCTTTTTTGTGTTCAACTTTTTTTTCCATCTATTACTGTTTTCGATTTATTCGCGATTTAGGTGATTTTGGCACTTTTACCATTTTTTTTGGGCACTTTGCTGACAAATTCAGAGGTTCGTTTTTGGTTGCATCAATTTCTACCACTTTTATCTTGCTAATCCAATTTTTCATTCGCTTATAGGAATTAATTTTTTGAAAAGTCTAATTCTATTAGTCTACTGTGTACACCTTGGTTAACTGAGGTAGACCTAGGTATACCTTTGTAAACCGAGGTAAGCCTCGGTAGATCTTGGTGTACATCAGTTAACCAAGAGAAGCCTTAGTACACCTCGGTGGACTGAATAAGCTTTGATAGATATCAGTTTACCTTTGCTCATCTAGGGATACCTTGATTGACATAGGGAAGCTTCGGTTGACCCTCAGTAGACCTAGATACACCTCGGATAAATCGTGTTAAGCTTCGTAAAGCGTTGTAGGGCTTGGTTATATGCAGTAAGTCAGTGTAACCTACGAGAAGTTATAGTTACCCGTGGTTTGCCCTTATCCAGTGCAGTTGGTCATAGTGATGGTTACCCGCGATCAGCCATGGTCCACTGTTGTAAGCTCCGGTTAAGCTTGGATTTTCATGGTCACCGACGGTAAGCACTTACGGTGAGTAACGGTCAGGCCCGGTTATTTTCGGAAACGGCTGCAAATCACGGTTACCTTTTGTAATATATGGATATTTGTGATTTGTTTGGGTTTCCTGTAGTTAACTATGGATAAACCTCTATGAATTCACGGCTTAACTTTACATGAGTTTGCAATGTCTACCTTGGCCGGTCTCTCTTTATCACTTCACACTTGTTACAGTTCTCACTATGAAGGCGCCCTTACTTCGTATTATGTATATTATAACGAAGGTCCGTAACAGGTTTTTTTGTGATTTTTAATGAGAAAACATTTTTTGTAAGAAGAACAAAAAATAGTATAAAGTAGTGCTTGAAAAATTGGAAGAATGAGCTTTTCCAAGTTCTAATTTATTAATAACTACGGGTAAAAAAAATAAACAAATTAAATAAGAATGATTAAAAATAGCCATTTTTCGGCATTTATTTATAGCATCTGAAATCAGGATCCCGAGGAATACCAGTAAAGGGAAAGGGACGTATGATGGAAAAAGTCTCTCCACGGTGCCGGTCAGAGAACGATCAAGATGCTTTTAATTTAACGCTGTAACACGAGGGTTGAGAAAGCACTGTGAAACGATGTCTCAGAGAAATATGAGTTGTATGATGTTAACGTAAAACTCACTGACGTGCATATCACGCACTTTTAATGGAATTTGCCCTGTAGTGATCACCGATTTGTGCAACATTAGTACTAATCATGACTTTCTATCAGTCAGTCGATTTGAAGTTTATCCATTAACATTGTTTTTAAAAATGTGGTTGTAATTTTTTTTTCATGGTTTTTTGGTGCTTTTTTTTTTTTTTTTTTGTAAGGAGTTAATGTGACACAAGCTCGTCTCATATGTATATCATACATCCCTGAATAATGAGTACTTCAAAGAAAAAATTGTCAGTCCATATGTTTTCCATGTAAGTTTTCTTGCAGAAAAATTAATTTTGAAAGATTCAAATGTAATAATTTTCTTAATCGGAATAAACCTATATAATTACCTGAACAAAGTTTAAATGAGAAATCATAATAGCGTTATAGCTATTACTGTGGTCCATCAGTCGTTTTCGGCCTCTAGATTTGGGAAGCCGATCAGTTGCATTGTTGAGCTTTGAGTTAACACAAGATTCTGCCTTGTTATTCTGTTCAGCATCAGAAATATTTTTTTTTTTGTCTTTTGGAGCCTTCAAAAATTGAATACCTTCAAGACTGTGGGGCTGTAGAAAAATTTCATGGAACATTAAATGATTTTCAAAATATACATTTTAAAACAAATAGAATAAATCACATTTTTCTAAATTATTATAAAAAATTATACCTATTATAGAAATGATGCTTCTTACCATAATTAGAATATATGTATGCATATTAATTCGTTCAAATGATTTTTTTTTCATTTATTTTTAAATTTAATCTGCATTTAGTAAATCCTGTTTAATTTATAAGTTGGTGTAACAACACAAAGTTATGATGTATAAAATAATATATCGGTTTCTAAAAATAATTTATGAATTAAATTAAATCCTTAAAGGAAATGTATTTCTACTTAGTTAAATTTTTGATTTTTCGTAAAGAATGGTAAAAAAAATACTGTTCCTAATTGCCTATCATAGTTAAAACCATAGTTTGTAAAAAAAATTTCCTCATGAGTTTGACAAATAACGTAATTCGAAATGTCGCTGCCATCAGTATTACGTGACAGTGAACGTAGCTTTACGCATAAAGTCACCTTATTTACGAATGAAAAAATTTTCGAAGTGTAAGACATAATGAAAAACAAATAACTTATTCATTGAGTCTCGTATAAATATATCAATGAGGAAAAACCAAGAAAATAATACAAAATTTTACTTGAAAAAATTTTGGAAAGAAATGAAAAAAATTGATAAACAATTATTTTGGTGCGTTTATGTTGGTTTTTTAAATTTTTTTACTGTGTGCTATCTGAAAGGTTGAGGAGTCGGGCATTTTTTAAAATAATTACTAACTAAAAAAATCTTTTTTTTATTCGAGACGTTTTACTTGTGAAGGGTGCTTTTGACATCTCTGAATTGTGTATGACTTAATTCATATTTTTTTTATATTATTTATGTTGACTAGAGTATACAATAATACATAAAACAGTAGCAAACAATGTTGCATCTGTAATCCTGCGGATATCAGTTTAATTATCTGTTCAAGAGATAGCACAAATCTACACATTATAAGGATTGCTTTGTCTAAATATCATTACAAATTATAACTTTTTACAAAAATCGTGAGCTTTTGCTTTTTATAAATTTAAAATGAAACTCTGTGTTTTGAAGTGATGAATATTAAGTTGATGACATGGGATGTCACAAGCGTTAGGATTTGAATGCAAAACTTTGTTTTATATATAACAACTTTATTTATTTATTTTTATTTTTAATATCAAATCACTCGGCTCATTGAAAAGCTTTAGTACAGTAATAAAGCAGCTTCTGTTACTTACAGTTTTGTATAATTTCGGTAATTGTATTATTTTTTTGCGAGTAATTTTATGAGAGTGAGATTACTTTATAATTAATTCTTTTTAATATAAGCGTGTTACGTTCAAACTTCTACAAGTAAAGAGTGGAACTCGTTTTACAAACAAATAAATTTAATTTTTTTTCATTAAGAACCAGCCGTCGGCCCAAAGGCCTTATTAGCTTTTACTTACAGTATACTTTTGATTTAAATCGTTAACTCGGCGTAGTGGTGTTAGGTTTCACCGAGCAATATATCGACGGCCCGGAGGAAGAAAAGCTTAACTCAGATTTCTCCATGTTATTTTAGATAGCTAAATCTGAGCTAAGCTTTTCTTCGTCCGAGCCATCGATAAATGGAGTGGTGTACGCCAAGGTAACGTTGACCTACTGTTTGAGTTTATGTCATACGGTAGTAGCATATCTTATAGTCAATTTATAGTGGGGATGTATCAATGCGTACTTGAAAAATCCCCGCGTATGTCTTCAATGGCACGTATCGAATGGGGTTGGAGTAGACCTGCTCACAGTTCGTTTTCTCCCAAAAAAAGGAATAGCACTTCGTTTGACTGTGTGGGAGTATTCCAGCTTGGACTACTACATGACAGCGGTGCCAAGCCAAAGCGTCGGCCGATACGTAGTGTAAGGTGTATAACACAGAACGGCTTCGTTACCGTATGTGCGTTCACTGTACAGACGCTACTATAACGGCGAGTGATTCGTAACTATAGTGGAGTAAACGCATTGTATACGTTCTCTCACTCTCATTAGTAGTAGCAGTAGCAGCCGAAGTAATAGCAGTGGTGGCAACGGTAGCGACAAAAACAAAAAGTGTTTACCGTAGCGATGCAGCTTATCAAAAAAAAAATGCACGAACTTCGCGCGTCTTTCTCTCTCTCTCTCTCTCTCTCTCTCTCTCTCTTTCACGGCCGAATCATACCTTGACGCTTGCAGCAACGTCGTGATGTCTTAACAACTGCTTGCGATCTAACTGATGCTAACTACGCTTAGCATATGCTTTCATATGCGTACAACTGCTCGCAAGCGCTCGCATCTTGAAGCCTGCAGCGCCCGATTACTGTGCGAGCGCCAGCATATGCTACCTCATGCTCAGAATGTCCCCACTCTGCCTGCACAGTATACATTTTGTGGATAGCTTCTTGTGACTTGCGCGACGCCTAACGTGCCCCCACGTTCCCCTTGCGCGCGCTTACGAGAAAGGAGCTGCGCCACAGATGGCAGACCTTTCATTAAATTTGATCGATTAAGATGTTTCGAGCGCTCGGAGTGTTCCTGTTACATCCCGAGTTGATACGAATTATATTATAACTAAAAACTATCCGTCCATCAAAATTCAGATAAGACGTGTTGTGAATATGACAAGAGGAGCTTGTATGTCGCTTATGTGTGCGAGTGTGTGTATTAGCTTTAAGGTGAATGCTTCATAATATGCTGACATAGAATACGGCCAGCCTCATTGTAAAAATGCATATACTAATTAAAAATTTGTAACCCACACATTACTTCATTATATTCGAAATTGATTGTTAAATCCTCAGAAGGATTAATTTCGAAATTGTAAACTTACTGTCACAATTTAACAAATATTTGGCGTTCTTATTTTGCTGATATGAGCTTTCATCATCACTGACCCAAAAACTCAATCGCACTTGTCAGAAAATGCGATTGGTACTCCTAATATGTAAAATCATAACATGTAACATCATCATGCAACTGTCAACGCAGTCTGCAAGAACTTCGCTCATTGGTTGACCTAATTCAACCAAAGGCCTTTTTTACTCGCTCTGATGCTATAAAAACGCACCATCAAGAGGAAAAAGTGCTCTCTTTACGTCTGTCACCTGTCCTCTAAAGTTTTAGTCAACTCATGACTCGCAACTTGTGAGTACCTTATACACGTAAGGCATAACGTGTTGGCTGAGGCAACTCAAGTGTGTATTGAGAACATCAAAATTATCGGACTACGCTAAGGAGCGAGGTACAGCAAAGGAGGCCCGCCGAAAGTGGTTTTGGTGATAGCAGCGGAAGCAGAAATCGCAACATCCTACTGGCCACGAACTCGTTCGTGTAGTTTAAGGAAATACTGACGGTTACAGCACGAAGCATAAGGAAACTCCGAAGCAGCAGTAAAAATAGTCAGTGATAGATGTAAGTAAAATATCAGTAATAAAATTTACGTTGAACCTTGTTATAGTGACCCGATTAAATTGTTTTTAAAAGAATAAATTATTATTAAATTGCTTCAATAAAGAAATACATTAATTCCCNCTAAGGAGCGAGGTACAGCAAAGGAGGCCCGCCGAAAATAATTCCGGCGATAGCAGCAGAAGCAGAAATCGCAACATCCTACTGGCCACGAACTCGTTCGTGTAGTTTAAGGAAACACTGATGGTTACAGCACGAAGCAGAAGGGAGCTCCGAAGCAGCAGTAAAAATAGTCAGTGATAGATGTAAGTAAAATATCAGTAATAAAATTTACGTTGAACCTTGTTATAGTGAACCGATTAAGTTGTATTTAAAAGAATAAATTATTATTAAATTGCTGAAATAAAGAAATACATCAATAAGCTATGTTATTTAATTAAAGATCATTATTTGATAAAAGAAATAGAAGAAAAAATTAAGCTCACGAGCTGAATTCTAAGAACCCCACGAATGGCACTTAAATAAAACAGTTAAGACCTTACTCTGAACAAGTCTGGTCATAACATTCCTAACACCTCTAGCCTGAGCCCGCGTTTTTACTCCAAGCGTTCCAAACGCATCAACTGCGTGCTCCTAACCAGGTAACCCAAAAAAGCCGTAAGAGAGCCAGCTATGAAGTTTCTTATGATACGATAATATAAAGTATCTACCCTCTTATCTTTTTGTTGGAGCGCTTTTGTTGGAGGTTGCACGCATAGTTCGAGTTTTGCGACGGCGGCTTGTTTCAAAAGAAGTAAGTTATTGTCACGCGATTGCGTAAGCAGATGTACCGCTTGATGGTTCGAAATCGCTGAGCTTTTGCTTTTTATAAATTTAAAATGAAACTCTGTGTTTTGAAGTGATGAATATTAAGTTGATGACATGGGATGTCACAAGCGTTAGGATTTGAATGCAAAACTTTGTTTTATATATAAAGGATTATATTGTATAAACTTAATATATAAATAACTTTTTGAATTCTATGTAAAGTTTCTATTATATTGCTGTATACACCACCTAATGCAACAATGCCATAATTTAATATACTGTAAAAAAAGGCATGATATACTTTTTTTTTAAGTATTGAGCTCCATGTATTTAGAGATTTTATAAAATATGTAGATCAAGTACTTAGTTCTTTTTTTATTATTTGTTCTATATGCTTGTTCTATTCAATATTGTAGTTGAAGATAAGCCTAAATACTTAAAGTAATCGCTATTGGTTTGCTTAGGTCTTACTTTTCACATCAAATTTAGTTACATAACTTAGTGCATCCTATGTTCCTTTATTCTTCGTGAATCCAAGTTGGTTGTCTGATACTATTTTATTCTTATTAAGGAGGTTTGGGAAAAAAGTTTACTTGTGAAGGGTGCTTTTGACATCTCTGAATTGTGTATGACTTAATTCATATTTTTTTTATATTATTTATGTTGACTAGAGTATACAATAATACATAAAACAGTAGCAAACAATGTTGCATCTGTAATCCTGCGGATATCAGTTTAATTATCTGTTCAAGAGATAGCACAAATCTACACATTATAAGGATTGCTTTGTCTAAATATCATTACAAATTATAACTTTTTACAAAAATCGTTAGCAAAGCATGTAACAATAATTTATCCGCCATAAGGTATCATTAAAAAATATGTGTAACATGAAGGAATCCATTTAATTTATAAGAATAAATAAAATNGATTTTTCACCAGGGGAAATTTTCGAGAAAAAAATTATGAAATATTGACAAATTAACGCGGTCTCTTATGAGAGAGCAAGGTAAGGATTGTCTTTTAATTAAAATTAAGGTATATTCTTAATGTGTTGGAATAAAAAAAATGTTTTCATAGATAACTTGGTATCTTTATCCTTATTGATCGACTCGATAGAAAATTTTGAGTTTTACTTATCCACTTTCATCACTTCTAAAAGGCCCATGCTGCATTCCTTGTAGTCTAGTTAAATAAAAAAAAGGTATTGGTATTACTGTATTCTGTTGAAACATAGAAAAATCAGTGACATAATGTTGCGAATGCCATCTGCCACTTTTTAGTTGGTTCTCTTTTGCTGATATTTCATTTGGTTTATATTCATATGTAAGACCTTTTAGAATGTCGTTTTTTTCCTTTATCTCTTTATTTAAAATTTTTAACGACGTATTTTCTGTTTTAAGTACCTCAAATTCTGCATCTTCATCAATGATAATAGTATATGATCAATGATAGTAGTATTAATTGCTTATTGTGCCCTGTTAATCATTTCCTTAAGCAACTCGTTTCTTATTTCATCAGTTTTTTTGAAAATTTTACTTGTTTAATAATGATTTTTGGTGAAATGTTTGGTTCTTGATCTTCTAAGTTTATGGTTATGTTTACATCATTCTGATCTAGGTATGTCACAAACACTTCACCCACATATTTACCGCCTAAGTATTTATTAAAATCACTACGATGAAACGTTTTTTCACGTACAACACACATAAAAATAGCACATTTTACTTTAGGGTGACATAAGTAAAATATTTCGTCACCTTTATCAAGAGGTACTTCCACCTCCGTCGCCATCTTGGCAAAAAAAAGTTGGCCTAGTGATTATATTCAGACACAGGCAATTTTTTATACACAAACTCAATGTGTAAATTTCAATACGCCAGTATTGTTTAACCATCCAAACAAAAGTGCAATCTGTCAAAATTGTTTTGTTTGATTGAAGTTAACTTCGAGTTGAAATTAAAAAATTGAAATTGAAATACACTTATCTAAGGATTCAAGTTTAATGTCTACGGAAAAAGAAATTTCTATATTACTTTAGTCATATGATTTAAATTTTGCAGCATCTAATATTTTTTACATTAAAATGAATTATTAATAATTAATTATCGATTTATTATAGGTGTAAATCTATTAGTATTATATCAAAAAAGCAGTGGAATAATAGAAAAATATACTTTGTTTTGTATATTTAGAATAAAAGCATTTTAATTATTTATTTATGTATTCCCCAGGCAATGTTTTGTTCACAAATTATGCTAAAGAAAGCAGAGCCTTAACTACTACTATTAAGTGGCAGCGGCAAAAGAAGGTGCCTGCCGCTACTAACAAATTCTAATGAAAGTCTCTTAAATACGAATATGTTTTGAACGCTTATTATATCACTCAGAAGCGAGTTCCATAGTCTATTTAAACGAAGTAGTACTAAATAAAGTATATGTAGATGAAAAGACAAAAAGAACAGCAATGAAGAACAAACGGTAATAAAATCAATTAAATTTCTCTAAGTTAAAAAAAAAATACAAAAAAGAGTGAACATAAGCTACCAGAATCGGTACGTACAATATTTTGATTATTATATTGAGTTCAGACATACCTAACCTCTCGTAGAATTTTATGTCGATGTTTTAGTCTAATTTTTTTTTTAGGCGCTACAAAAAGAAGATTCTTCAAGTAAAGAATCTGATATAAAAGTTGGGAGCAGTGACGGTACATCTAAATTTTCGGGAGATAATCCATCCTTGCAAAGTAAACGAGTGGATTTTTTCAACAAAAAATTAAGCTTCATAGGATCTTTGCCCATCAAAAAACAAAAACTATCGTCGAAAAGGTATTTGGAAGAAAAATCAAAACAAATATTGTCCGTAATTACTAAAAAAAATTTTAATTTGAGCCGAGATGATCCAGATGATCTTATGGCAGATGACGACGAGTCCTCGATAATAAGTGATTAGCAAGAAAGTTTCAATACTTCAGCCGACCGCATTCGTAAAATTAAAATTTTGACTAATTTTCGATCGTGGTCTTATAAAAGAATCGAGGACACATTTCCTTCCGCAACTCGCCACATAGCATAGCAAAAAATGTTGCTCAAGATAAGATCCAAACCCGAAACAACATCCATCTCTAGATGATAATGTTTTCGATACTATTGTTAGCTTGTACCAGTCTGATGACTACACTCAATATATGCCCGGAAAAAAAGATTACGTTTCGATAAAAGTAGACGGCAAATCGGTACCTATTCAAAAAAGACTAAACAATTTAAAAGAATTGTATAAAATTTTAACTAGTACGTATCTAACTATGAAATGTAGTTTCTCAAAGTTTGCTAGCTTAAGGCCGAAATATTGAGTTTTGGCAGGTGCTTCTGGTATTCACTCTGTTTGTGTATGTCCTATGCATTAAAATATTAGTTCATTAGAGAATGGTGCCAATTTTAAATCACTTACTTCCGGTTCTCAGCTGCCTTTGATGAATTATAAGGATTGTTTGGATCGCATGGTATGCAAAAACAAAACGACTGATTGTTATTTGAATTCTTGTAAGAAGTGCCCAGGCGTGACGAATGTTATTGAGCAACTGGAGGAAATTTTTAAAGAAGAATGTATTGAAATTGTTACCTAAAAACAATGGGTTACGGTTGAAAGAACCTCATTGCAGACCCTAATATCTCCACTTGATGAATTTTTACAGAAGATAAGTGAAGGCTTGCAAAAACTGTTGATTCATTTATTTTTGGTTAACCAACAAAGGGATCTCTTAAATGAGATGAAAAATAAACTGAGAGAAAACGAGTGTATCGTAATTTGTGACTTCTCAGAAAATTATGCTTTCATAATTCAAAACTCGGTTCAGGGTATACATTAGAACAACGATCAGGCAACCGTACACTCATTTTCACTTTATTATAGGAATGACTTGGATGAATTAAAAATTTCAAGTTTTGTTTGCATTTCTGAATGCCTACATCATGACACTATTGCCGTACATCTATATCAAAAGCAGTTGATTGAATTTATTAAAATAAATTTACCCTGTCTTCATAAAATAATATACATGTCTGACGGTGCGAGTGGACAGTAAAAGAATAAAAAGATTTTCATTTATCTCACTCATCACTTTGAAGACTTTAAAATAGCAGCAGAGTGGCATTTTTTCCCTACTTCACATAGAAAGGGAACATGCGACGGAGTAGGCGGGACTGTAAAACAACTAGTTGCCAGAGCAAGACTTCAGAGAAATAACAATTTTATTCGAATGCCGCGAGAACTCTTTAATTGGGCCACATAATCACTGCCAAATCTTACTTGTAGTTATTCTATAAATGATGATTACGAAAAAGAAAGAAAATTAGTGTCAGAGAGATTTTTCAAAGCAACAACGATTAAGGGAACGCTAAATGATCATAGCATGGTTCCACTATCTCGTAAAGAATAAGAAGCGAGGCTGTTTTCTTTGCACGAAAAAACAAATATTGTAAAAATTTTCAAGTGGCATAATTTTGTTGTAGAACTGTAAGAAAAGTTTTACTTGTACATGAAAATTTTGTTACATCTATAAATAAATATTAAG